TAGTTGGGGGAAAAGAAAGAATCTGCTTGCTAATAAGGGTTAAATACTCACTCATGTTGTAAATATTGTCTTATTAAAAGCTTCAACATTGGCTTGACCAAAAAGAAGAATAAATGTGTAATATGGAATACCAAGTGATATAAGAAAACATTTTCTTGAATGAAATAAAGCTCTCACTCAAGGAAAGGAACATTTAAAGACCTGAATACCATTTTTTATTGCTCAAGAAATAGCAAGGTAAGAGAACTTGAAGTATGACAATTTACTGGATATAAGCCAATCTTACACAGATAAAAGTGCAGAATTTTAAAGGAGACTGGCAGACATCCCAGATCAATTAAGGAAGAAATCCTGCAACATACTCATCTTTGAAACCTTAAATTTAGATAATGCTGTTCAAGGATGGAAACATGGAAATAAAAATATAACCAAGTTGAAGAAAAATTATAGATACAGGGATTCTTTTATGCGATAGGCATTACTTAATGCCTCATTCTATTGAGCTAAATCACTGGTTAATTCAATGAAGTAAAGGAAAACTAATGCTTGACAGACCAGACTATCTGACAGATTGGACCTGTTAGTTGTCAAAAGTGAAACTGATTGTCTCACCTATAACAATTTAAAAAGTTCAAATCTGGAAATTACTATTCAAAATGTGTCAGCGCGATAGCTGAATAAATTTTATTTGACATTATTATGTAGGACTCTAGATAAAATGTGGTAATTGTATATATATATATATATATATATATATATAATGTATAGAATATATAATACAGTGAAATGTAATTACACACACCTGAGTTTATATTTGTATTACCATGTAGTGTGATTTTCTTCAAATTAGGATGTGGAAAATAGAAATTAGGCATGCATTTGAATTCTACCAAATAGAAAGAAACATCACTCCAGTTGTCTTATGTTTCTATGCTTTACACTTAGTATATGCAATTGAAATTACAGTTTTAAAGATAAATACTTAACAAGAAGGAACTCAATGTCACGGTCTTTTGAGGAGAAAGGCAATACTCAGGGCCTAGGCCCCTTCACCAATAACTGGAAAGAAGAGTACATTAATGGTGCTTTGAAACAAGTTACATAAATCATAAGTGTCAATCCTCCAAACAGCCCCAATTTCAGAGTAATTTCCTCACTCCTCAAACACAGAGAATGTAACACTTTTATGAAAAGATGCTTAAAAAGTCTTTCTACAACTTAGTTTACTATTAATAAAAACGGGAATAAAAGAATAAATATGATACATGTGGTAAACAAGTCAGTTAAAAATATGAAAGAGTTTAATAAAAGGATATCTTTGTTAAAAGAATTTATTCGGTGACTTAAAAAATGTTGTGCTTCTTGATGAGTCAACATAATTTAATTATATATTTTGCACATATTTGATATAAAATATTCTGTAACCAGGCCAGTATTCTAGATCTTTCAGATCATTTGGAACAATTTACCACAGTTTGTTATATTATGAATATTTAATTTTATTCTTTGGAATCAAATATTAAAACATTATCTTTTATAAAATTTTGAAAGTAAATTGAATTTAATCTAGTTTTTCTGAGCCAAATCGTAGGTCAAAATCATTTTGCTAAACGTCTTAAAGCATCAGAGTCAATGTCTTGTCTAAATTTGTCTTAATTTTAATCTACTGTGTTTCATCTATATAGTTATTTTTACCACTAAAATACGTTTTCCATGTCTTTATTTTTATACATTTGAACCATTGATGTTTTTAAAAGAAAATAAAATTTTGAAAGTATAAGTACTAATGTTAAATAATCAACCAATATGAGCTAACATTTTGTTATATATTAGTTATTAGAATTTCAAAATATCAGCTCATTAAAATTTGTAGAAAACTTTCAGTCTTGTATCTAATCAGACTTGCTAACAGCTATTTACCATGTATTGAGTGTGATAATGCTGCACATATAGTATATTATAAAAATGTATGAGTGAAAGCAAGATTTTAAAAAACAAAACAAAATATTCAGATTTTAAAAATAAGTCTTGATAATAATCTAGTATAATGCTCCCGTTTTACAGGAAGGGACCTAAGTGCCATAAAAATTCAATATTGACCAGACTCAATGGTCTAGTGACAGAGCAGAAATTAGGATGCCATGTCACCTTGTTTTGGTTTTTCTGAAATCTACCAAAGAGAGGATGAATAACAGAGGGATGTCGTTTTTTAATGGAATAGGCCTTCCAGTGTGACTGCTACAGTCAAGAGAAAGGTCCTGCAATGAGTTATAGGTTGGTAGAAGTTTACTTAAAAAAAAAAAGAAAACCAAAACAAAACAGAAAAGGCTCTGGTATGAACCATTTGCAGAAATGAGAAGGCTTCAAGGAGATCATACTATGTTTCATATCTTTTCCAGCATAACTTTTATGAGTTAAGCAAAGAAGCTAAGCATATTTGAAAGTGTAATGGAAAACATCATTTTTAATGTCCTAGTAGTGTAAGGAAAAGAGTATATGATAAAAATAGCGTCACATCCTGATCTAACCTTTTATCAAATTATTACAGCTGGAATGTTTGTTTGGCATAAATGCCATTTTATTTTATTTTATTTTTTTAAAGATTTCCATTGGGGAATTGGGGGATGGGAACAGTGCTGGGGAATTGGGGACAGGAGAACAGACAAGTTGCTGTCGTTTTGTTCTTCAGTCTAGTTGTGGAGGACGTTGCTTCACTGGCCCAAGTTGGCACCATCACTGCGCTCCTCCCGGGTGAGGCAGATCAGTCGCCGGCTTCTGGATGGCCGCTCACTACGGCTGCTGGCCGCTCACGCTGGCTGCTGGCCGCTCACGCTGGCTGCCGGCCGCTCACGGTAGCCCACCGCAATCCACTGCCACAGGGACTGCAGCCCACGCCGTCGCCGGCGACTCATGGCAGCCCAGCACCAGGTTGAGCTGTTGCCCAGCATCTTAGCTGTGGAGGGCAGTGTCACTGGCCCTCACATGTGGGATCCGAACCGGGGCCCTCTGGCATCCCAAGCGAGTTCTTAACCATCGCGCCACTCGGCCGGCCCATAAATGCCATTTTAAATCAACCTATTATAAGTTGCTCTCATACTTTAAATTTTTTTTTCTCAACAATAGTGTTACCTCTTATAGTTATATAAATGTCATCAAACAATGACAAAATATAGAAGAGTTGATTTGAATTATTCTGAATAGTAATAAATATTTATAAAGCTAATTGCATTTTGTTGGTTCGTGTTCTTCTAACTGATCTATAGAACATTTAATATGGAGTGGTACATTCAATGTTTTGGTTAATTTGAGATATATGTGAAAAATAAATTGATACAATCTTATATTTTACCTTTATACCAGACCTTTCCCATTCTCTCATTATATTTTTATTAACCACTTATTCTGTATACAATGTACCTTAGTTGATGTAATCAATCTAATTTGTAATTATTAATTATTATGTGTACCATATGTAACCAAGAGTGTACTGTAAGGTAAATTTGGGGCCTTTACAATGTGTTGTATAGGTTCATAAATTGTAACAAATATACCCTCTGGCGGGGAATATTGGTAGTGGGAGAAGCTATGCATTTGTGGGGGCAGAAGCTATATGGGAAATCTCTGTACCTTCCACCCAATTTTGCTATGAACCCAAAGCTCCTCTAAAATACAAAGTGTTGATTAAAAAGAATAATATTGTTGGTCCTAAAACTGATTTCACAACACATCAACCTGCAGTTTGTAAAACACTGTTTTAGACAAAATGCCAAGAGATGAACCACATTAATCTTCAAGTATGTGGAAAGAACACATGTATCCTAGTCAGCATTGGATAGTGTAATTGTCAAGTCTATGTTTTCCTGAACTTTCTACCCTTCTCAGCCACTTACAGCTCTCTCTATATGGATATCGCTCACTTCTCATACCCCAGGCTTTCAGAAGCTAGAAGGCCTGAAAGAGAATGGAAACTGTCTCTTCTAGATCTCATAGGTGAGTCAGCTGAGAAATTATGTAAATTTGGACTTGGATTCAGCTACAAAGCAATACATTAAAATTATTTTGTATAATTCTCACCACAACCATACAAACTAAGAATTACTACTCTCCTATTTAAAGAAACTAAGGCTAAAGAGGTCAAATGACTTGTTCAAGGTGACAAAGCTAATGAGCAGCAGAGTCTAGATCCACTCCTGTTCCAAATATAGTTCCCCTACCAGGGGAGTTAGATGCATGTTGTAGAAGGTCCTGGAATCCAGAGGAGTTCCTCTGACACTCAGAGCTCCCAGATACTCAGAGTAGGGAGGCCCAAAGGCCAGGACGTTCAGGGCCTCTGCCTGTGGACCGTGAGCACAAGGAACACAAAGAATGCAATGTTCTTTCTGGACTTTACCTTGCCAGCCTGTACCCCCCTCAGCCCCACCCTGCTCTCTAGCCCCTTCCACTGTGCATGGGTAGGGGTGGGGCATATAAAAACAAGCTTGACAATCTATTGTACATTTCACCACATGGGCCCATGACAACTAGAGCCCTCTGAGCTAGGAAGGACTGGATGATTTTCCCCCTGAGAAATTAACCTTGACTCAGCTAAGGTCATATCGATGGGAGGTCAAAGGAAAGCTCCGAATCCAGCTCCTCTGCAACTGCATTTCCCCCTTTTTTCACAGAATGAAATCTTGATAAAGTAGAATCTGTTCTTGGTTATTGTAAACTAAACACTTTCAACCCCAGCCCCCTCCCCAAACCCTATCACCAAGACATGAGCTACGTCTTGTGGGTTACCTCTGGAGAGGTACTGGAATTCTACCTTTTCCCACTTCCTCCTGGCCACCTTGTTCTCTGCTCTAACATTTAGGGTTTAAACCCAGGGTGGGAAGGAGAGCCCTGGCCCACTGTCAAACTGGGCATGCTCAGTTGCGGAGCGGGTTTGGGCCAGGCCTGGGAAGCTGCTGCAGCTGCTGAGAGAGCCCAAGTGCGCACAGCTCAGGGGCCGCAGCCGCTGGGCGGAGGACGCGGCTGCTCGGCTCGGCGGCCCTGGGACGCCGCGCCGCCCGCCCCCTGCAGCCTGTGTTGCAGCTGCTGGCCACCGGAGGGGGCGAACAAACGTCAACCTGTTGTTTGTACCGTCACCATTTATCAACTCTCAGCACCACAAGGAAGTGCGGCACCCACAAGCGCTCCGAAAGTTCAGCATGCAGGAAGTTTGGGGAGAGCTCGGCAATTAGCACAACGGCCCGGGCAATTGCTGGGTGAGCGCAGGCGGCAACAGCGCGGCGCGGCGTCCGTCCCGGGAGCTTCTCCCGGATTTTTCTTGGAGCCACGCAGTGCCTAGGTCGCTGATCCCAATGCACCGGCTCATCCTCGTCTACACTCTAGTCTGCGCAAACTTTTGCAGCTATCGGGACACTTCTGCAGCTTCGCAGAGCGCATCCATCAAAGCTTTGCGCAACGCCAACCTCAGGCGAGATGGTAAGAGAATCTTTTTTTTTATTATTTAAAAAAATCACTTTTTTTTATTGCCGTCATGTGTTTTCTCTCTCTCTCTCTCTCTCTCTCTCTCATCTTTCATGTGAACCCTGGTGAATGCATTGTGGTGGAGGGGCTTTGGGGGTTCGTGCCTGTCCTGTCTTGAGAGAGCCCCATTTCCCGGAGTGGGACCGAGGGCTGTGGGTCACCCACCTACTGATGGGGATAGAACGGGTCAGGTGACTTATCTCCCTACACCCTAGGGAGGTCATTTTGGAGTCCAGTAGTCACTGATACCAGTTCTACAGAGTTGCCGAAAGTTGCAGACTGCGCCGCCCATCGGTCAAGCTCTTAACCTTTTAGACTTAAAACTCGGATAGATGGGGCATTTATGATAGATGAAGGGACGCAAGAGTGACTTTCTCTGGGTGATTTATTTTTATGTTTTCAGCGGGGGAAGAGAATGATCCGTTTCAGTCTTGCAGTCATATCTGGATCAGAATAACTTTTTAATATAGTATTTATTTGGAGGAGATAGCAGTGGTCAGCATTCTGCCCTTTCTGCCCCCAGAGTAACTTTCCCATTGGGGTAGCTCAAAAACTCAGAGTCTGGGGGAGTAGGGGTTTTGGGGTTTCCTCCGTTTCACATGGGTGCTGGGCTTCTGCTGTTAGTTTCCTTGCACAGAAGGCTTTTTAACTATTTGCAAAAAGCAAAGCTCTTTGAACAGCTATCCTAAGCAAGGTCCCAAGCAGGCTTGTTTATTTTCCTTTACTCTGGAGGACACCTGGGTCATTGGAGCCCAGAGACTTTAATTGAGTTTATTTACTTTCTGGGCCTCCACCAAGATCTGAAGTTGATTTATTCCTCAATTCTCAACTATCGCTGATGTTGCCAGTACTTTGCAACTGTTTCTGCCACCTACCTGAACTGACCCATAGGTTTTTGTTTTTTCTTTATCAATATCTTTCTCTTCCTCTGCTTGCTTAAAGTTCTAACACATCCCCTAAGGAGCTATTCCTAATGGCTTTACTATTTGAGCTGGTAACATTTGACTGTTTTCTGGTAAAGTCATATTAACCATCTTATTCCCTTATTAGTTTATCTCTTGGTATATCTTTAATTTGAGCTTCACTGAAAGGCTTTTGAACTTTGAAACAAACAAACAAACAAACAAACAAACAAACAGCTTTATTGTATTTTCTGATGACAAGTAGGCTATGGATTTCAATGTGCTGAAGTCATCTGAAGTGGTGTAGGTGTGTGGAGGGAACAGGAAAGCCAAAGAGTCAAACTCCTGGCAGAAGATCCCCCCCTCCTGCGCCACCCCCTCCCCGCCCTGTATCTCAAGAGTTACTTTATCACAGTGTTTTATCTAAAATATGTTAGCAGTGACTTTTTGATGACTCTCCAACTTAAAGCACATTTTCTTATTATACTTAAAAAAAAAAGGGTTAGGTTCAAGACCAAACTTCATAGTTCTGTTTTACTCAATATTTCCATTGGGAACAGTCTTCTCCTAGTTGAGTTTTTGGATTTGTTAATGTTTGCACTTTATATGCCCTTTCAGCTGCATAGAGTAAAATGCCATTTATAATTTGCATGACTTCATAGCCATAATTTTGTAATCCTTAGCCTCTCAGTATCAGTTACAAGAATTCAAGGACAGAATATGAAAAGTATGTAACCATTGCCAATTTACCCAAGACTCCTACTAAAACCAAGTCATGCAGCTTATACTATTTTTTTTTGAAAAGAGTAATCTCATTTTATCTTTCATTGCTAAAACTCTGTACATCAGTCTAATCTATATGAGAAATGATTTGTTTTATCAAAATTTTGAAAACTACCTTGGATTTATTTCTTCATATTTTAGCTAAAGCTGTTTTGCAGTTACTCTCACAGTAGACACACACACACACACACACACACACACACACTTTGATTAGTTCAGATTGTTCAATACTTTTCTCAGTGTCAATCTCATTCTATAAACAAGACTAGGAAAGGAGAAAAGTTACTGAGATTGAAAGAAAATTGTTATATACAGAGTAAAAAACAATTAACACTCATAATGTGTTGTTTGGGGAATTTTCAAAATGCAGCTTATTCTTAAGTGTGAGAGAGGATGCATTCTCAAAGAGAGGCAATATTGCCCCAAAGGGGAGAAACTGGATCTTAGGAGGTGAAAAAAATCTTAGATGTTACAATGGTTACATCTCCAAAGAGCCAGTACATATAAACAGATAAACAGTATGTCTGTAGTGTTCATATTTCATAGGGAGGGGACATGATTAGGAAAAAAAAGTCTTAAGTGGGGATTGGCAATAATGAAAAAAGGTTGAGAAACATTGCCATAGAGGGTAAGTGAGTAAAAATAAAGAGTCTTTGAAGAAGTCTAGACATTGTCTGGAAAACCTTATTGGCAGCAGTTGAGCTGACAAGAGAAAATAATAACTTATTAAATTAAAGCCTTGTTCTGATTCCAGACATTTTCACCTTGCGCTCTCAAAGTTCCCCAGTGGCTCATTAAAGAAGACAATATTCTTGCTTTTTTGACTGTCAGATTAAAATAAGTATAAGCTTGGGAAGGGCATGGACATGGAATGTAATAAGGGGAAAGATAGAAGATAAAAGTTTCCAAATGTTAATTTAGGGCTTTAAGAGGTCTGGCCCTCAGATTACAAATGGTAAGGAATCACAACAAAAAACTAGACGTGACCCTTGAATAGGGGGCTTAGAAATCATTACCTGGTGATGGAACTATTTTTACACTTGAGTGCCATCAATTTCTCTCTGCTGACCTTGTTAGCTGCTATCGAATACTGGGGTTAAGAAAGGAACAAAGAGGACAGGCATCCTGTCCTGGGCATGAGGTGTGTTGGATTCTGCCCAGCCTGATGCAAAAACAAACAAAGAAACAAACAAAAACTCGTTTTTGGTCTACCTGTACTTAATAGCTCCAGATAACTGGAGTAGCTAAGAAATAATACAGAAATAAAGTGTTAGAGCTGACACTTAATAGTCTTCTATCCAGTGCAGCAGGTTGGTCTACGGCTGTCTCCTGGCCCTCCAGAACTCTTCATTACATTATACATTTCACCCTTGAACGACATAGGGTTTAAGGTCATCAATCCCCTGTTAGCCAGAAATCTGCACATGACTTTTGACTCCCCAAAACTTAATTATTAATAGCCTACTGTTGACTGGAAACCTTACCAATAACATAAACAATTAATATATATTTTGTATGTTATATGTGTTATATACTGTATTCTTACAATGCAGTAAACTAAAGAAAAGAAAATGTTATTAAAAATCATAAGGCAGAGAAAATACATTTACAGCATTTATTGAACAAAAATCCGCATATAAGTGGACCCATGCAGTTCAAATGCGTGTTATTCAAGGGTCAACTGTATTCTTGTTCTAAAAGGGATATTTGCACCTGCAGAGTGGCTAAAGGTGACCCAATGGAGGAATGGTTGAATTTGTTCTCTGTATCTAAGAGGAAACTAGGTTCTACAGCTAAGAATAATTAAAATTAGTTTGCAGTACTTAATTGAATATTTATACTTCCTTAGATTATATTTATTATTCTTTCTCAAACTGATTTACTTTTGATATTCCTTCCTGATCCACCTCTCGGCACAGAGAAAAATCTTCATTTGATAATAGCACCCACATTTTCTTACTTGCTTATGCACATGATGCTTTTGTAACAATAACTGGCCACAATTGGTATGCAGTCAACAGTAGGCTCAGAGTATGGATCAAAAGATGTAACGTAACAAATAACTGATAGTATTACTTACTTATTTTTAAATCAAACCAGATAGAACTTCCTGTTTAAGGAGTTACGAATGCAGAATCACTCTTCATTTTCTTGACCTATTGTTGCTTTCAGAAAGTACACGTTTGTGATAAGTGATTTTGAATTTAGTTCTGTTTCGATGTTTTATATACCAGTACTTGAATCATCTATTACTTTATCATTATTTAGTGATAGGCCTCCAATTTTAGTAATTGTGGTTTTAGGTTTTTAAGTCGTCAAGCTTGTTTCTTAAATAACGTGGGTTTCCATTGTCCTCATTGATGACAGCACATTGACTTTGGTGGAAAGATCAGAGTTTAAAGGAAAGGAGACCAAACAGAGAACAATACAAATTAAAGTGTCTGAAAGCTAAGAATCAGATTAGTGTCTAAATCTTACATTCTGTGTTTACATTTCTGTTCAACTCTAAAGGTATTAAAGCCTCATAATCTTATAGAGCACAGTGGTGATTACATATCTTGAAGGAAACATTGCTTTGACTTGCTACTATAGGTTGTTATTTAACAGAGGTTCTTTTCAAGAGGCTGGTTTTAGCCAGGTGCGCATACACTATGTAACAGAAGATGCCATTGGATTGTGAGTTATAGTAGTGACCATGTAGTGTTCATTGAATGATAGTAATTTCTGTCTTACAGCAAATGAAAGCAAAACTTTATTGTTTCAGAACAGTAGGGTGAAACAATGGAGCAATGTCCCCAAGAGTTTCTGAGTTACTGATCTCTAATGACAAGCCATAAGCATGTTGTCACATGGGACTCTTGAGCATATATAGTCTCGGAGAATGCCATCATTCTAAGAGTCTGGAAGGGTATACATATTTACATAACTGTCATAGAGAGTTAAGTCATAATGCAAATCATCTTCCTTCTGGAACTTACTCTTGAACTTTCTTGGCTGAAATGATCTAATTGATTAGCAAAAAAAGGCACTTCCTGAACATTTTAATAAAATTCTTCCTTGTATTAAATTAGAAACAACTTTTACACAAACCAGGTGTAAGATGTTTCTAACTCTCCCATGCCATGTCATTTCAGTAATGCACTGGCCTTCACAAAGGATCAAGGTGGCTTTAGGGTGGCAGTGAGCTCCTGTTTGTACTTCCTGATCTCTTTGAATGTTGTTTCTTTTTTTGATCTAGACTGTCTTCTAAGATGAAAGGACAAGTGGTTC